TGAATCATAGAAGGGTAGAGTTGGAAGGGACCCCATGTTTCATCTAGTCCAAACCCCTGCAATGCAGGAATCTCAGCTAAAGCATCAATGACAGAGGGCCGTCCAACTTCTGCTTAAAAACCTTCAAGGAAGGAGAGCCCACCGCCTCCTGAGGGAGATGGTTCCATATCGGAGAGAGACTTCCTGTAGCTTTCGGAGATCTGTTGTGTTCTGGAGGACATCAACTGCAAAATCATTGAAGGGCGGCATTAGGCCTCTGAACACCAGTTGGGGAGAATTGAGGTTGTGTAGGGCTGTGTACCAGCGTTAGACAAATCCCAGATTCTGAACCGAATGGGGTTGATCCAGGGTTTGCCTGGACAGGGCTGAAGTAATGCCTGCATCACTCTGGGTTGGGGCCACCCAGAGTGAAGTGGGGCTCTCAGAAGAAGACCCTTTTTGATTTTTTGACCATTAGTGGTCTGGGTTGAAGGGGCCAGGACTCTGAAGCAACTTTACTCCCTGGTGCCCAAACAAAAACATGGATAATACCCTTTTAATTCTCTGGCTTTCTTCCTTCGCCCTTTTCATTTTAGAGGCCCCGGGTTACATCCAACTGAATTTTTACACGCATTGAAACAAATGTCATATCCATCCATTTTTCAATGGGGCCTAACACTGGTGACTGGATACGACCCCCTGAATCTTGTTTTTGAAAATCACCTCCTTCCTCTGCAAAATATTACAGTCTTCTTCCGATTTAACCAACAAACTGATCAAAAAAATCTGAGGTTAATTAGCTCGCGTTGCCTTTCTAGGCCCCACTGAATGCAGTGGGAACAATTCCTGCAGTGGACTGCAGTGTAAGTTGCATATTTTGTTTCCAAAAGGGTTCGTTTCTTTCCCCATCATCACCAAGAAATTAATAATAATAATAATAATAATAATTTATATGCCGCCCATCTGACAGGGTTGCCCTGGCCACGTTGGGCGGCTTCAGGTGAATTAAAATACAGTAAGACTTCAAACATTTAAAACTTCCCTATACAGGGCTGCCTTCGGAAGTCAGACAGTTGTTTATCTCCTTGACATCTGATGGGAGGGTGTTCCACAGGGCGGGTGCCACTACTGAGAAGGCCCTGTGCCTGGTTCCCTGTAACCTCACTTAGCGCAGTGAGAGAGCTGCCAGAAGGCCCTTGGCGCTGGACCTCACTGCCCAGGCCGAATGAAACTTATTATTCGTTTCATTTTTTACTGGAAGCAACTCAAAGGGACTTGCGGCAATCATTCAGTGCAGTTTTCTCCCCTTTTATTCATTTTTGGGTCCTACGTCAGGAGTAGGGGAAACTCATATCTGGCTCCCCAGCCCTCTCCATCGATGTCCTGGCCCTCTCAAGGCCACCACCACATCGCCTCAGCTCTCTCCTTCTCTTCCGTGTCTATCCAGCCATGGTCTGTCTCCTCCTGCCTCGACGCCACCGCTCTTCCTCTCCTCCTCTCTTTCTTCCCCCTTTCCCTTCCCACCCTGCTCCCCGACTCTCGCACTCAGCCTCTTTCTGCTCCCTGGAGTCTCTCAGCAGCTTGCCCCGTCTTCCCGACAGCTCTCCCCCCCACCCCGTTTTTTCGCCTTCTGGAACCCCCTTAGCCTGTAGCCGGTTGTCTGTCGGTCCGTGCAGAGCGCCCGTCGCCTGTTGTCCGTGGCGGCGCCTGACATCGCCTGTCTTTGCCCCCTCTCCCTCCTTCTTTCTCTCTCTCCCCCACCGCAGCGCCGGAGGCCCCCGTGATCGACACGCAGCGCACCTACGCCTATGACCAGATCTTCCTTTGCTGGCGCCTGCCGCAGCACTCGCCGTCTGCCTGGCACTACACGGTGGAGTTCCGGCGCGCCGAGCCCAAAGGGAAGGCCCTCAAGCTGTGGCAGCGCCGCGAGGAGGTGCGTGGCACCAGCGCCATGGTGGAGTACCTGGACACCGACTGCGTCTACGTCCTGCGGGTCAAGGGGTACAACAAGGCCGGGTTCGGAGACTACAGCGAGGACATCTACCTGCACACGCCGCCAGCGCCCGGTAAGACCCTCCTAAAAATATAGGCAGTCTGTCTTTCTGACAACCAGGGCATGTTTACCTGGAAATACTGAGCCACTTCAAGGTTCTTTGGGTCCAGGGGACCTTTGGGGATCAGCTCAATCACTGAGATTATCTGCAGGTGTGTCGTTGGCCCTTTCCCGAGTTGGCAACGACGAGAAACCGAGCCTTTAGAGCCGCCTGCCCGGTCCTGTGGAACTATCTGCCCCTAGAGATTCAGCAGACACCTTCTGTGCCAGCATGGTGTAGTGGTTAAGAGCATAGTTGTTAAGAGCGATAGATTCGTAATCTGGTGAACCGGGTTTGATTCCCTGCTCCTCCACACGCAGCTGCTGGGTGACCTTGGGCCAGTCACACTTCTCTGAAGTCTCTCAGCCCCGCTCACCTCACAGAGTGTTTGTTGTGGGGGAGGAAGGGAAAGGAGAATGTTAGCTGCTTTGAGACTCCTTTGGGTAGTGATAAAGTGGGATATCAAATCCAAACTCTTCTTCTTCTTCTTCTTCTTCTTTGAAAAGCCTGCTGAAAACTTTCCTCTTCGCAGGCGACGAAGAATGCGTCCTTCCCCAATGGTTAATTCATGCCTGTTTCAAACTTTTGAAAAATGTTCTAAACCTCTTTTAATGGTTTTATATTGTTACCTTGGTTCTGAAACGTAATCCGTTCTGGAAGTCCGTTCCAAAACCAAAGCGTTCCAAAATCAAGGTGCGCTTTCCCATAGGAAGTAATGCAAAACCGATTAATCCGTTCCAGACTTTTAAAAACAACCCCTAAAACAGCAATTTAACATGAATTTAACGAGACCATTGATCCATAAAATGAAAGCAATAAACAATGCACTGTACTGTAAAATCAATGAAACAGTATTGTAGATGATAAAAATGAACATGTATTTTTCCCCCTTACCTGCACTGTCTAAAGTGGCTTTGCAGCTTTTATCCATTTCCGCAGTCAATCAATCAATCAGTAGCTGAACTGGGTTCCACACAGTCACTAAAACAAAACAAAAAAGCCACAAAAACACAAAATAAATAGCATAAACAGACCTCACCGTGTGCCACTCAGAAAGAAAGTGTAACACTCAAATCGGAGCATGTTCAGCTTCCAAAAAAAGTTTGCAAACCGGGACACTTACTTCTGGGTTTACAGCATTCGGGTTCCAAGTTGTTTGACAACTAAGCTGTTCAAGAAACAAGGTACCACTGTCCTGTACGGTTCTTGTTTTATTGTTATTGTTTATTGAATTTATTGAATTGTATACAGCCCTTCATCGGGGTGGTTCACAGTTTTACTGCTGTAAACCGCTTGGCTATTTTTAAATGATGTAGCGGTATACAAATATTTTTTTAAAACTCCCCATCTGCACTGTAGGTTTAAAGCAACATCAGACCACTTTAGAAAGCCAAAAAGTATCCCGGGAACTCTTAATATTTTAAGGGTGCTAGGAGTTTTCAGGAGAACCCTTATTCCCTTCCCAGGACTACAAATTCCCAGAGTGGTTTAACAATCAGTGCCTCTTCCTAAGGAACTCTGGGAATTGTAGCTCTGTGATGGGGAATAGGGACCTCCTAATGACACGGGTGGCGATCGGGACGCGGGTGGCGCTGTGGGTAAAAGCCTCAGCGCCTAGGGCTTGCCGATCAAAAGGTCGGCGATTCGAATCCCCGCGGCGGGGTGCGCTCCCGTTGCTTGGTCCCAGCGCCTGCCAACCTAGCAGTTCGAAAGCACCCCCGGGTGCAAGTAGATAAATAGGGACCGCTTACCAGCGGGAAGGTAAACGGCGTTCCGTGTGCTGCGCTGGTGCTGGCTTGCCAGATGCAGCTTGTCACGCTGGCCACGTGACCCGGAAGTGTCTCCAGACAGCGCTGGCCCCCGGCCTCTTGAGTGAGATGGGCGCACAACCCTAGAGTCTGTCAAGACTGGCCCGTATGGGCAGGGGTACCTTTACCTTTACAAAGTAGATAAAGAATAGAGATATTGGTTATCTGTTTGTTTGTTTTTTAAATAGAGCTCTTGAGGATCTTTTTGATCTCCTCATGTATCTCATTCCATAATTGTCTTACCACCTTACACCCCCACCACATATGGTATAGACTAAATGATCCTTATGATCCCTTCCAACTCTACAATTCCATGATTCTAAAGCAAATAATAAACGAGGGACCCAGGTGGCGCTGTGGGTAAAAGCCTCAGCGCCTAGGGCTTGCCGATCGAAAGGTCGGCAGTTCGAATCCCCGCGGCGGGGTGCGCTCCCGCTGCTCGGTCCCAGCGCCTGCCAACCTAGCAGTTCGAAAGCACCCCCGGGTGCAAGTAGATAAATAGGGACCGCTTACTGGCGGGAAGGTAAATGGCGTTTCCGTGTGCTGCGCTGGCTCGCCAGATGCAGCTTTGTCACGCTGGCCACGTGACCTGGAAGTGTCTCCGGACAGCGCTGGCCCCCGGCCTCTTAAGTGAGATGGGCGCACAACCCTAGAGTCTGGCAAGACTGGCCTGTACGGGCAGGGGCACCTTTACCTTTTACCTTTAATGACTTTTTGCACCTTTGACAAACTACAGTTCCCAGAGTTATTTGGGGGAGAATCATGGCTGTTTAAAGTGTTGATGTGTCTAAAGTTTCTACACCTCAGCAGCTTTTTGGGGGGGGGGCGACGGGTTCTTCCTAGTTAAGATTCTTTCTCCTCCTTTTCCTTCTGCCCGCCTCCCACCTTCGCCTTCTCCCAAGTGCTGAACTTCTTCCTGGACAACCGGTGGGGCTTCAACCGGGAGCGCCTGGCGATCAGTAAGGACCAGCGGGCCGTCCGGAGTGTGCCGGGGCTGCCCATGCTCTTTGCCGCAGAGCGGCTGATGACCAGCTGCCACCTGTCGATCGACCTGGTGATCGGGGACGTGGCCGTCACCCAGGGGCGCAGCTATTGGGCCTGCTGCGTGGACCCCAGTTCCTACCTGGTCAAGGTGGGCGTCGGGCTAGAGAGCAAGTTGCAAGAGTGGTTCCAGGTACCCCAGGATGTGGTGAGCCCCAGGTGAGCAGCGGCTGTTCTGGAGGGGGGAAGAGGGGCAGGTTTTCTCAAGGAAATTGTCTTTTTAATTTCATAGAGTTTATACATACAGTGGTACCTCGGGTTTTAAGTACTTAATTCATTCTGGAGGTCCGTTCTTAACCTGAAACTGTTCTTAACCTGAAGCACCACTTTAGCTAATGGGGCCTTCCGCTGCCGCCATGCCACCGGAGCACGATTTCTGTTGTCATCCTGAAGCAAAGTTCTTAACCCAAGGTACTATTTATGGGTTAGCGGAGTCTGTAACCTGAAGCGTATGTAACCTGAAGTGTATGTAACCCGAGCTACCACTGTATACAGAAAAACCTCCACCAAACTGTATTGCAGAAGGGATATTGATTAGGATATTGACTGTAATATTGAGCAGCTTATTGATCAGGGTATAAATAGAAATACTGCTATATTGCAATAGCTCAGCTGATTAGAGCGTGATGCTGATAACGCCAAGGTTGCAGGTTCGATCCCCATATGGGAGAGCTGCGTAGTCCTGCATTGCACAGGGTTGGACTAGATGATCCTTAAGGCCCCTTCCAGTTGGAATAATAATAATAATAATAATAATAATGATGATGATGATGATGATGATGATGATGTACCCCCATCCATCTGACTGGGTTGCCCTAGCCACTCTGGGTGACTTCCAGCATAATAAAAACACAGCAAAACTTCAGACATTAAAACCTTCCATATACAGGGCTGCCTTGAGATGTCTTCTAAAAGTTGTATAGTTCTTTATCTCCTTGACATCTGGTGGGAGGGCGTTCCACAGGGTGGGTGCCACTGCGAGAAGGCCCTCTGCCTGGTTCCCTGTAACTTCACTTCTCGCAGGGAGGGAACCGCCAGAAGGCCCTCAGAGCTGGATCTCACTGTCTGGACTGAATGATGAGGGTGAAGACACTCCTTCAAGGAGATAAATAACTGTACAACTTTTAGAATGGTCTGAAGGCAACCCTGTTTTCGGGAAGTTTTTAAACGTTTGCTTTGTCCCTTTATATTTTGTTGGGAGCTGTCTGATCTGACTGGCAACCCAGCCAGATGGGCAGCGTATAAGAAATAAATGATGATGATGATTAACCATCAGTCGCTTCTTGCGAAGGCTAATCTTTCGGCCCAGGCTGGCTGGGGGCTGATGGGAGCTGGAGTCTGAAAACACCTCGGCCATGGCTGGCTCGGAGCTGGTGGGAACTGTAGTTCTTGGACTCCAGCTCCCATGGTAAGGAAGACCCAGAGGTTCCCAGGGGGCTGGGGCCTTGACTGCGGTGCGAGCCAGCTTCCTAGGCTCATGTGCCGTCAGACTTGTTGCTCTGAGGCCTAACTCCTCCTTTCCCCCTGGCCTGCCTCCTCGTTTCCCGTGGCTCAGGTACGACCCCGACAGCGGCCATGACAGTGGCGCCGAGGATACCACCCTGGACACAGCACCGCCTTTCGCCTTCCTGACCATCGGCATGGGCAAGATCCTTCTCTCGCACGGCGTGGCGCTGACCTCGCGGGACCCCGGCAACTGCACTGTGCCGCTGCCTCCCCGTGTGGGCATCTGCCTGGACTACGAGCGGGGCAAGGTGACGTTCTTCGACGCCGTCTCCTTCCGCAGTCTCTGGGAGTGTGGCATCGACTGCTCGGGACCCGTCTGCCCCGCCTTCTGCTTCATTGGCGGCGGCGCCCTGCACCTCCAGGAGCTGGTGGCCAACCGACAGGAGCGGAAGGTCACCATTGGCGGCTTCTCCAAGATGGACTGAGCGTCTCTTGGCATCTCTTGGCGCGAGGGAGGCGGGAACCGAGCGGGAGGCGGCCTCCGGTGCACGAGAACAGTCATCCCTCCCGCTAAACGGGCCTCCGGGCGCCTGTTGAAAGCGGCGGAGGATGCCCGGGGCCTACAACAAAATGGCCGCCCTTCCGCTCGCGGGCCACACTGAGATTTGCCCCGCCTGGCGGGCTGATGGACCTTCCAGCGGATAGAAGAGACTCTGCCTTTCGAAAGACCGCGATCCTGTCGTAGACCTCCCCTCGTAGAACGTTTGCTGTGGAGATAATTTTGTGGGGGACAGGGACGGGACAGAGCGGGGTGCTGCCCCCATAAGCTGCACTGTGTGTGCTTGTGGGGGGCGGGAATGTCTTTCTGTTTCATCAGGTCCTTTGTTTTTCCTACCCCCGCTACACCCCCAACATCTTTTCTGGTCCCTCCGTGTCCTTGTGCCTTGGGGTGGGGGGCGCTCTCCCAGTTGGGATGCTTGCCCCAAAGACTCTGAAGGAACCTAGCTCCCTGTGGGGCAGGAATTTTCATCTGTGGAGGAGGTAAGGATGTTTCGTTTGATGCATGGACGAATTAGGGATGTTTTTAACCACACACAATCTCCCTTTTTTAAACTCTGTAATCCATCTGTGCTCTTTCCCCCTACATCTTTCCATCGACACCCCACCACCAGCGACGGGGTGATTGGCACCTGTTGCGTCTCTCCTGGTCTGACTCCAATTTTGAACTGAATGTTTTTTAAAGCTCCCCCTTCCAAAGAGCCCCCTCCCAAATTTTGCAAGTCTTGCAAGGCCTCACAGGTGCCTCACCCTCCTCATTTTTGGATCGAGTCCCATCTCTTATCTTGTCTACATGATGTCAAAGTCTGTTTTTTCCAATCTGTCTTGGGTTTTGCAAACCGTGGATTTTTGGCAAAGGGTGTGAAAGGGCAACGGGATGAATAAGTCACCCCTGTTGGGGGGGGGGAATTGAGAGTCCCCCTCCATGGGGGAGAAAGGGAGGTGGGTGGGACAGAGGGGGGTGGGCAGGGGTGAACTAAGGCAATCAAAACTGTTTTCGTGCAGGTTTAAGATTTTATAGTGTAGATCTGCCTGTTCACTTCAGGATTGTTGTGATATTAAAAAAAACATTAAACGGAACGGTGAATCGAACCCGGCTCTCTTCTGACTGACTGCATTTGGTTTCTGGATGTTGCTTCTCCATAAAGGTCCCTAAAATGGATCCTGAGATCTCCTCACTGTTCCCTAAGGAAGCCTCATTTCGCACCCAGAACATGACACTACGGTTTCCACTATTATTCACTATGATTCTAAGTTGCAATGCCTGGTTTTCTTTTGCTTGTCAGTGTGCAAGGAGAACGGACATCCCTGCAGGACACCCCCACTCCCTGATAGCTGCTACCCACCCCCCAAAAGAAAGGAAGGTGAGTCACTTTCAGCCACCATTAAGGACCGCCTAGGTAGAGATAATGCGGGGATGCGGGTGGCGCTGTGGGTTAAACCACAGATCCTAGGACTTGCCGATCAGAACATCGGCAGTTCGAATCCCCGTGACGGGGTGAGCTCCCGTTGCTCGGTCCCTGCTCCTGCCACCTAGCAGTTCGAAAGCACGTCAAAGTGCAAGTAGATAAATAGGTACCGCTCCAGCGGGAAGGTAAACGGCGTTTCCGTGTGCTGCTCTGGTTCGCCAGAAGCAGCTTAGTCATGCTGGCCACATGACCCGGAAGCTGTACGCCGGCTCCTTCGGCCAATAAAGCGGGATGAGCGCCGCAACCCCAGAGTCGGTCACGACTGGACCTCATGGTCAGGCGTCCCTTTACCTTTACCTTTAGGTAGAGATGGGCAGATCCTTCTGGCATATGCAGACGTGATCTAGTGGGTCCTTCTCCTGCACATGTCTGAGAATAAAAGGGCATGTAAGTTAGGAGGGAGCAAGAGCCTCAGGCCCTCTGTGCCTCCCCATGCGGCCCTCAGAACTGTCCCTGGGCCGCTCAGTTCTTTCAACAGGTGTTTGGTTCTGGCAATAGCCAGCAGAGGGCACTGCAGCACTAGGAACAGAGATATTTAAGTTTATGCTGTTCCAGCCAATAATTAATTGCTAGTTTTGTTGTGACTTGAGGGCATTTCCACAGGGCAGCCTTTTGCAGGCTCGTACCTGCAGAGTGAGGGTTGCAGAGAGGTCATGGCATTTCTGCAGTGTTTTCTGTTTGCAAATGCAACAACGAAAGAAGGAAGTCTGGTAACATCTTAAGGGCTAGGCTCCATTATTATGGCATGCCCTTTCATTTGCTAGAGTCTGCCTCATCCATGATCTGAACAAAGCCTACTGTCTAGTAGTAGCAGTAGCAGTAGCAGTAGCAGTAGTAGTAATTTTATTATTTATTTATTATATATTTATTATTATTATTTATTTATTTAATTGTCTGCTGCTGGTAGCCACCAACCATCAAGGGTCACTGAGCAAGAAGAAAACACAATAATACATATCATTATAACACGCAAAACAATAACAGTAAGTGAAAAGTTTTAGAGCTTTTTTTAAAGTTTTAACCAAAGTTGCTTAGCTTTTTTAAAAAAAAAAATAAATCTCAAAATAATAATAATGAAGTTTTAGAGCTATTCTTAAGGAAATTCACCCAAAAAGATTTTCCTGGACACTGCAGCGATGTCCACATGTTTCAGACTGCCGTATTCTGGGTGTATGGCAGCCCTACTGGAATGCATCTTCCTGTAGGAAAGGTAAGCTCCGCCTCTGTTTGCTTCTGGCCCCGCCCACATGTGTCCCCAGGAAGGTGGTCCGTGCTGCAACATGGCTCTCGTGCTGAAAAAGTTCCTCTGCCTTTGATGAACCAGCATGTTCCGATGTAAAGGTAAAGGGGACCCCTGACCATTAGGTCCAGTCGTGGCCGACTTGGGTTGCAGCACTCATCTCTCTTTATTGGCCGAGGGAGCCGGCGTACAGCTTCCGGGTCATGTGGCCAGCAGGACTCTGGTGAAGCAGAGCAGCGCACGGAAACGCCGTTTACCTTCCCGCCAGAGCAGTACCTATTTATCTACTTGCACTTTGACGTGCTTTTGAACTGCTAGGTTGGCAGGAGCAGGGACTGAGCAACGGGAGCTCACCCCGTCAAGGGGATTCGAACTGCCGACCTTCTGATCAGCAAGTCCTAGGCTCTGTGGTTTAACCCACAGCGCCACCTGCATCCCTTATGCTCCGATGTAGTAGCGGGGAAAGTCTGTAGTTCAGGGGTAGAGCATCTGCTTTGCATGCAGAAGGTCTCAAGGTTCAAGATCAGAAATTCTTCCTGTATGCCACAACGGCAGGAAGACTACTCCTCTCACAGAGATGGAAACAACAGGCTATTCCGACAATTGAAGAATGGCAGCAGAAAGTATTGGAGTATGCAAAAATAGCAAGGCTAACTGGAAGAATCCGACAGCAGGATGATGAGAAATTCCAAAAAAGAATGGTCCAAATTTATGGTATGCTTAGAGAAAACTGTACATAAATAAAGACACTCACAGGACTGAAATAAAACTCATAACGTTTCTTGTAAACATTTGGTTAGATCACAAGGTGTAATGCTGTAATATAATAGGGAGCTGCCTTACACAGCCAGACCTCTGGGGTCTATCTTAGCTCAGTATTGTCTGCACCAACTGGCAGCTGCTGCTCTGCAGGGTTTCATGAAGGGGTCAATCCCCAGCCCTACCGGGAGATGCGAGCGATTGAACCTGGGACCTTCTGTTTGTCCCCCCCCCAAAAAAATAATTTTTATTACTTTTTTCAAAATATCTCAAACACAATACATCTTAACAATATTATTCTCCTTTCAATCTATATCTTATCCAAATTAACTTCCCTCCACCCCTCTTCTGGCTTCTCTACATTGCTCTTACTTAAGCGTGATTACTATATATACATTCTGTAAGGTAAAGGTAAAGGGACCCCTGACCATTAGGTCCAGTCGTGACCGACTCTGGGGTTGCGGCGCTCATCTCGCTTTATTGGCCGAGGGAGCCGGCATTTGTCCGCAGACAGCTTCTGGGTCATGTGGCCAGCAGGACAAGCTGCTTCTGGCGAACCAGAACAGTGCACGGAAACGCCATTTACCTTCCCGCCAGAGCGGTACCTATTTATCTACTTGCATTTTTGGGGGGCGTGCTTTCAAACTGCTAGGTTGGCAGGAGCAGGGACCGAGCAATGGGAGCTCACCCCGTCGCAGGGATTCGAACCGCCGACCTTCTGATCACCCACGTCCCTATATACATTCTATAAATGTCTATAATTCCTTAATAATTTTTTTGTATTATACTTTAGGCATACATTCTTTATTGCCCTATTTAAAACCAGCCATTTGACCAAGGGCATTGTTATGTACTGAAGTTCTCACCCTGGGCCAGCAGGGGGATACTGTAGATAGTTCAGGTCCACATATGCAAAAAGGGATCGAAAGTGACGTTCAGTGATTGGATAGTTACAGAAAGTTGTTACTGTTGCATTGTACTGGAGCTCTAAATAAGCAGGCTGGCTGAACCCTTCAGTTCAGTTCTGTTCTGTTCTGGCCTGTGAATAAACAAGAGCTGTCTGATACAGTGGTGCCCCGCAAGACGAAATTAATTCGTTCCGCAATTTTTGCCGTCTAGCGAATTTTTCTTCTTGCGAAGCACGGTTTAAACGGTTTAACAAAGTCGCAAGACGTTTTCGTCTTGTGAAGCAAGCCCATAGGGGAATTCGTCTTGCGAGGCAAATCGCGAATGAAAAAACCTTTCGTCTAGCGAGTTTTTTTGTCTTGCGAGGCATTCGTCTTGCGGGGCACCACTGTAAATCGCTGTGTCGTCTGATATGTTCACCCACAACTTAACACTGGCGACGAAGGTGGGATGGATGGACAACAGAGCACAGCCAGATGCAGCCACCCTCTGAGCGGAGCTGAATCACTGAGCTGAAACACCGAGCGAAACACTGAACAGAACCAATTCAGAGCTGACCGTTCTGGCTAGAGCACTGTGTTCCATCCATCGCCTTCCACGTCGGCATTGGAACCATGACTTCACTTGTGCCTCTACCACCGTTTGCGCCAGCCTCTGAATCACGGGACTCCTACCTCACTCGGTTCGACTGCTACCTCCAAGCCAACGAGCTGACAGAAGTATCACAGGAGCGGAAGCGGGGCCCATTCCTCAGCCTCTGTGGGCCTGAGGTGTTTGAGACGGCCCGAGCATTGGTTGCGCCTATAGCAGTCCAGGCAACACCGTGGGACACGATTCAAGAGAAGCTCCGCAACCACTACGCGCCCAAGCCGCCCAAGATTGCTGCCCGCCATGCGTTCTACCACTGGAACCAGGCAGAGGGGGGAGTCAATCAACAACTTCAGTACATAACAGGAATGAGGGCTGGGCTCTTTATTTCTGGGGAGATGGCTGAAGCTCGGTGGCAGGACACTTGCTTGGCATACAGAAGGTCCCATTTTGGATCCCGGTGGCATTTCCAGGTAGAGCTGGGAATATTCCCTGCCCGAAAGCCAGGAGAGCCTCTGCCAGTCAGTGTAAGCAACAGTGAATTAGGAGGCCCGAAAAAGCTTCCCCGCCCTGGATTAAACAAACCAGGGAAGTCTGATTTTGCAAACATTAAAAAAGAACAGGATTTCAAGAGGGTATCGCTGAAAAGAATGACTTGAGTGCACTTCATCTTCCTGGCGTTGAGTGCCTCAGCCCTTTGTATGTTTTTTTGAGTGTCGAGAGAGGCAGGCACTCGTGGCTGGTTTGATTCTTGAGTGGGTGCAGCAAGGCTTGTTGCTAAGGTTGTTTACACACACACACACACACACACACACACTTATTGGTTTTTTTAACATTATTGCCAACAATCATATAACGTAACTTCTTATTTTATACAATGTTTTAGACTTCCGTCAACACCTCTGATGGTTTTCCCTTCTTTATCACTTATTCTGCCATTTCTTAATTTCTCTATTACTCTTAATTATCATTAACTAATAATTCTCCTCATAGTCTTTCTTGCCATATTTCAGATAGTTCTCCTTACAAAACTTCTTGCAGTCCTACTAGCATAATCTGTTCATTACAATTACTTTTCAAATAGTTCGTATCTTTACTCCAGTCTTCTAAGAATCTCTGGTCCCGCTGGTTTCGAATCCTTCCTGTTAATCGGCTTGTCGCTAAAGTTGCAGATGTTGGGAATATAACAGCAGGGATCCTGCGGTTAGCAACTAAAGGGTTAATTCCGTTGAAAGACAGTGAGCCAAGAGGGGTGGTGAAGGAGGAGGTGTTTCCTAACAACCAGCCAGAATGCAGTGCTTGAGTTCTGATTGGCTACTAACCCTGCCCTGGACTAGGCCTGAACCCTAAGAAAGAAGACCCCTCCTTCTGCATATTTATATACTGTTTTGTTCACTTTACTTCAGTAAAGTGTGATCCAGTTTCTCTCTCTCTCGACTCCCATCTGCTTTATTCCAGTCACTCCGTTAACAGCAAGATCAAGGCCAAGGCTGCTTTGTACCAGGTTTAACCAATTGCCCATCAAACCCAGTATAGCTTACTCTGACTGGCAGCACCTCTGCAGAATGATGGGCAGAAAGAAGTCTGCCCTATCCTTTTAAAACCGGGGATGTCAGCAGTTGAGCCTGGAACTCCCTACATGCAAAACTGGTTCTCTGCCACTGAGCTGCAAAGTGAGAAATAAGTCAGGTTCTAGTCCTCATGACTCTGGATTAAAGGGCTGGCTGAAACAGGAAGCTGCCTTATACCTAGCCACAATATGTCAGGATTTGAACCTGGGACCGTCTGCATGCCAAGTAGATGTTCTGCTGCTCAGCTGCAGTCCTTCCCATCAAAGAATTCAAGAAGCCAGTTGCTTGCTTTTTCCCTTGACCCTAATCAACCACCGGTCGATTTAATGCATCAGCGCTCATGCCAAATAAGCAAATTGGCAACCCTATTGTTCATTATTATTTACTTTACACAAATACACTTTCCTATTGCCAAACCGCTGCCCCCGCCCCCATTGCTTACATAATAAAAAAAAGGGGAATGTTTGCTTTCATTGTTGCCTTGGGAAACCACGGAACGAAAGCAAGCCAGCCCCGGATCTCGCTTCCTCCCACCCTGAGCATTTTTCGTTCCCGTTTCCTTGTCTATACAATACCAGCTACTGTGTTTTCTTATCCCTGAGGACTGCTTTAAGGAAGAAATAAAAATATTGCCCAATTAGGAAGCGCAAGATGTCTTAGCAGGTTGTTCACCCAAGAACCTCCAGCAACAGAGACAGTCTACCTTGCAAGTAAAGTTGGAGGTGGCAGAATGGACCAATGACAGAGGGAGGCCTGTGGCCTTCATGCCTTGTTTGCGAGTAGCCTAGAAGCATCCGGCTGTCCTCTGTTGGAAACAGGGTGTATGGCTTGATGGAGCTTAGCTCTGGCTTTCTATGGTTGTTGCAGCTCCCATCATTGCTGACCATTGGCCATGCTGGCTGGGACTGGTGGGATCTGGAGTCCAACGGCATTGGAAGAAGGTTTAATATATACCGTATTTGTCTCACCTAACCATAAGACGCACCTAGTTTTTAGAGGAGGAAAACAAGAAAAAAATATTCTGAACAAACAGTGGATTTATGATTTTTGTGGTTCATGCTGTGGCCACGGACATGTGATTTGATGGTGAGTTTGGGGTAGCCCAGTGCAAAAATCCTGAGGATCCATGTGGATCCATGCTTTGTAACTAGGTTTTTGCACCACTGC